GAAGCAGCACCTATATGGGATCCTAGCATGTTCAAGGAGAGAACTTTAGCTGCTAGGCCACAGTGCCAGGCGCAATTCCAGCACTTGTAAGACAAGGATTTAGCGACTGAGCCACCAGACTGGGCCTGGTTGTTTTCTCCCCCATTCACCACACCCCCGCACCCCGATTCTACATCACTACCCAAGCTGCACCTCGCTGATACTCTTCATTCTGGCTGTGGTAACTGTGTTTAAAATGGTTATTTGTTTACAAGGCAAAAGTAATAAATACGAGGAAGGAGAGGAAGGAAGAAGGAAGAGAGGAAGGGAGGGAAGGAGGAAGGAAGGCAGGGAGGGAGGAAGCTCCATGCACTCCTTTACACCCCAAAAAGCTTGAATAGCTAGAGGCTGGGCCAAAAGCAAGAACGTGGAATTGCATCTAGGTCTGTGACACGAATGGTAAGGAGCCGAAAGCTGGGGTCACCTTCTGCTGCCTTCCCAGGCGCGTTAGCAGAGACCCAGGCAGAGAGCTAGGTAGAAACAGCAGCTGAACTCGAACCAGCCCTCCAACATGCAATGCCAGTGACTCAGGTGCCTTACCCTACCGTGCTACAACGCCAAGCCATGAATTTCCTTTTTGTTGTTGTTTGTTTTTCGGTTTTGCTCTATTTTTTAGGATATTAGCTATGTTTCTGAAAGCAGAGTTACTTCCATCTCCAGACGGCTGTAAGAACCGGGGCTGGGACAGGAGCCAGATGCTTTTTTTCCCTCCCTATTTTATTATTAATTTAGAACTTTACTTTTAATATTGCTTGCATAGTTGAGAGGGACGCATGCACGCGTGGGCCTCCTATGAGAATGGGAAGTGTCAGGGAAGGAGACTGGGACACGTAATTTTTTTTTTTTTAGAATTGTCACACTTTTTAAAATTTTTATTTTCTATTTTGAATTACGGTATAATTTAAATTTTGAATTATGGTATAATTCTGTATAGTGGGGATTCCCCTCCCCCCAGTTCCTACCCCCGGATTGATTTTTCCCATAATGTCGCTACTCTGCATAAGGAGTTAAAATCCCATCAGTCTGCTGTTTAAGTGTGCCCCAACATTGCTGGGACAGACAATGTCAGACAGTCCATCATCCCATTGTCTAACACTTTCACTGGGAGTCCATCTTTGTTTTGGAAGTAGGGATGCATGTTACATTATGTCTTTCCCATCTGGATATGGTCGTCTCCATTACTCCATCACTCTACATTCCAATTTGCATTATGGTTTCCTTATATTAGAGAGAACATATGATATTTGTCTTTCTGGGATTGACTTATTTCACTGAGCATAATAGTCTCTAGTTGGGACCATCTATTTACAAATGGTATAATTTCTTTTTTTTTTAATGGCTGAGTAATATTTCATGGAGTAGATGTACCACGGTTTCTTTTTTTTTTTTTTAAGATTTATTTTTATCGGGGCCCGGCACGGTGGCGCAAGTGGTTAAGGTCCTCGCCTTGCACGCCCGGGATCCCATATGGGCGCTGGTTCTAATCCCGGCAGCCCCGCTTCCTTTCCAGCTCCCTGCCTGTGGCCCGGGAAAGCAGTCGAGGATGGCCCAAGGCTTTGGGACCCTGCACCCGCGTGGGAGACCCGGAAGAGGCTCCTGGCTTCGGATCGGCATAGCATCGACCGTTGCGCTCAAGTGGTTAAGGTCCAGCTTTCCAACCTCTAACTGGACCTCTAACTGTCTAATACAATCTTTTTTTTTAAAGATTTATTTTTATTATTTTTTCATTGGAAAGGCAGATATACAGAGAGGAGAGACAGAGAGGAAGATCTTCCGTCCGATGATTCACTCCCCCAAGTGAGCGCAACGGCCGATACTATGCCGATCCGAAGCCAGGAGCCTCTTCCGGGTCTCCCACACGGGTGCAGGGTCCCAAAGCTTTGGGTCGTCCTCGACTGCTTTCCCGGGCCACAGGCAGGGAGCTGGAAGGGAAGCGGGGCTGCCGGGATTAGAACCGGCGCCCATATGGGATCCCGGGCGTGCAAGGCGAGGACCTTAACCACTTGCGCCACCGCGCCGGGCCCCTAATACAATCTTAACAAAAAGAATGAAATTATACCACTTGCAACTAGATGGTCCCAACTCGAGACCATTGTGCTCAGTGACATAAGTCAATCCCCAAAAGACAAATACTGTATGCTCTCTGTAAATTACGGAAACCATCATGCAACTTGTAAGTTCAATAACCCTTTCCATACTGCTTTTCATTTTCACCTTCCAAATACTTTATTTTCTTTTGTCAAATTCATCCCTGGCTCGTGGATCCCACGGAGGCATCATTTACCCAGGAGTCTTTGGTGTTTGCCATCCGTGCATTGGTTATTCAGCGCTACATTTTTTCGATTCCACGATGCTCTGTTTTTTTTTTTCCTCCGTTTTGTTTTTGCTTTAATTTCATACCTATTGTTGACTTTGTTTCGTGACTTCTCATGTATGGGAATGTACAGTGATGGAGCAATAAAGACTACTGTATCCGGATGTGACGATACAACGCAACGTGCATCCCTACTTCCGGATCAAAGATGGGCTCCCAGTGAAAGTGTTGGTCATATCTAGACAATGGGACGCCGGACTGTCTGACACGGTCTGTACCAGCAGTGTCGGGGCACACTCAAATAACAGACTGATGGAATTATAACTCCTTAGGAAGGACTAGACTATTGCAACAATATTGGGAAAATCAGTCCAGGGATGGGAATTTGCGGGGCGGAATCCCAGACCCTATGGAATTGTACCATAAAACTGAAAATTTAAAAAAAAATTTTTTTTTAAATGTTGCACTGAAATTATACACGTGTGCATATTTAATTATACACATGTGCATGTTTAAAAAGTGCAATGAACACAATTCTGCCACACCCTTCTGGCACCAGACCTCAGGGGAATATGTGATCTGACTATAAAACCCCCAAATCCACACAGTCTCCCCAGGAGCGCCCCAGGCTGCATTTGGCAGGCCTGGCTCACAGGTCCCTGCTTGGCTCCCAGTTACAGACCTGTACAGCTTGGAAGCGCTCAGGCTTCCAGATCCCCGGGGCTGGATGCTCACTTGTATAAAGAACTTGAGGCTCCAGGCACTGGGCAGGGATCTGTAGGACCCACTCCTGCCCAGTGGGTGGAGCCAAAGCTGGGGCACCGGGAGATGCCATGTCCTCTAGCGGAGCGTGCCCTGCCAAGGCGGGCTGGGCTGACAAGCTTTGGGTGCTTTGGCACTGGCATTGCAGCCCTGGGAGATTCTGTCTTCCCGGCCCAGCTTCCAATTGTGCAGCAATTCATTTATTCACTCCTCTGCATTGTGGGGGCTTGGACTGCCCCCACTACGCATGCCCATGACCCAGGATGGCGGTGGGTCAGCCTCGACACCCTTTTCTCCCTCACCTTCCCTGTATTCATCTGCCACTTAGCCTCAAAGTGGCACACTGCAGGAATGGAATCAGGGCAGGCTGCGCTGTAGGAACACGGAGCCACCAACACACGGAGGAGAGGGGCTCCAGGTGAGCTGCCCCGCGTGGGGCATCCTGACCTCTTCAGGATCCTGGCAGCTCCACCCTTCCCTCCTGCCATGCCTTCGGCTGGCAGAAGGGAGAACCACAGGGAGGAGCAGGTGTGGGAGGGGTGGGAGGCACAGGCCTGGAAGCAGCACCCAGGACATCCTCACAGCCGGCAGTTGGAGTTCTGCATGTGTGGCCCCGGGCGACAGAGCACAGCTGCTTGCAAAAGGAAGGGCAACGACTGGGAGAGTGAACACAGGCACCGCAAGCTTTTACTCAAGCGTTAATGACGATGAAGGGAGTCCTAGAGCGATGTTTTCCCTCCGCCCTGGGCAAGGGCGGCAGCACCTGAGCTGTGCAGCGCCCCCTGGAGGCCACCTCTGCCCTAGGCGCCCAGTCCCCCTGCCGTGTGACCGGGAAGCGAGAGCCATGCATGACAAGGACAGAACCCAGCCAGGGAGCCATGCATGACAAGGCCACAGAACCCAGCCAGGGAGCCATGCATGACAAGGACAGAACCCAGCCAGGGAGCCATGCATGACAAGGCCACAGAACCCAGCCAGGGAGCCATGCATGACAAGGACAGAACCCAGCCAGGGAGCCATGCATGACAAGGACAGAACTCAGCCAGGGAGCAGGTGGGACAGGGCATGGCTTCTTCGGGCAGGAGAGGCTGGGGCTGCAAAATGGAGACTGGCAGGGGTTCTGGGGCAGAGGGCAAGCTGCAGGCGCTTGCCTCTGCAGGCAGAGCAGACCGACGCAGCATGGGCTCCGCCAAGGAGAACTGGACGCTGCTCCACGTTGACAGTGGACAGCAGGGTTGGTGTTGTGCCAAGCGGGTTAAGCCACCTGCTGCACACCAGCATCCTCTGTGGGCAACTGGCTGAAGTCCCAGCTGTTCCCCTTCTACTCCAGCTCCATGTTAATCCACCTGGAAGAGCAGCAAGAGACAGGCCAAGTGTCTGGGCCCCTGCCGCCCACGTGGGAGACCCACAGAAAGCTTCTGGCTCTTGGTTCCAACAGTTCTGGCCATTTGGAGAGTGAACCAGAAAACGAAGCTCTCTCTCTCCCTTCCCCCCCCACTCCTCTCTTTAACTCTGCCTTTCAGACAAATAAATAAATATATATGTGTATTAGAAAGTCAGATTTTACAGAGACAAGGAACAGCAGAAAGATCTTCCATCTGCTGGTTTACTCCCCAAGTGGCTGCGATGGTCAGAGCTGCACCAATCTGAAGCCAGGAACCAGGAGCTTCTTCCAGGTCTTCCATGTGAGGGCAGGGTCTCAAGGCTTTGGTCCATTCCCAACCGCATTCCCAAGCCACAAGCAGGGAGCTGGGTGGAAAATGGAGCAGCCGGGATACGAACCAGTGCCCACATGGGATGCCGGAGTGTGCAAGGCGATGACTTTAGCCACCAGGTTACCACGCCGGGCCCGAAAAAATAATTCTTCAAAAAAAAAAAAAAAAGGGCTTGCTTTGGCAACACATATACCTAAATTGGACTGATACAGAGACTAGCATGGCCCCTGTGCAAGGATGACGCGCAAATCAGTGAAACGTTTCATATTTTTAAACAAGAAAGAAAAAGATTCATTTCAAAATGAAATCCAATGTAAGATCAAGTCCAAACTCCCAACACATTAAAAAGAAACTGGAAGCTGTGGGAGGGCAGTCTGTGAGGGGCAGCGCCAAGCTGGCCTATCCGAGCGCAGCTTGCCCACCTCCTTCAAGGCGCAGCCTGTGTTCAACCTGGAGGGAAAGACGGAGGAGACCCTCCGAGGACTTCATCTTTCCACGTGACCGCGAGTAGGCATGGCCACAGTCCACCGTGGAGACCCGCCTTTCTCCTGCCAGCCCCGGGGAAAGTGCAGACCACAGGCGGGATCGTCCCCTGCTCGCCCCTGCTCGCCCGCGGAGAGGAAGGAAGGGCGCGGGCTGTGAGCGCAGGGCTCCTCGCAGGGCATCGCGGGGAGCAGCCGCGAAGGGGCTGCTGCAGGACGGAGACCGAGCCTGCAGTCCGCCCCAGGGACAGCAAGCGGCCTTCTGCAGGGAAAAGAGGCCGAAGGCTGCGTCCTTAGCGCGGCCACCCTGAAAACGGCGTGCCATCTCCCCATACCCTCTGGTGAACACACTGTGCTGTCCCCAGATGGCCTGCTCTTTGCCCCTGGTGGCACCTGCTCCTCTGTCAGCGCCAGCCAGTGTGTGTGTGTGAGTGTGTGTGTGTGTGTGTGTGTGTGTGTGTGTGTGTGTGTGTGTGTGTCGCTCAGGCACAGAGCCACGCCAAAGCTCTGACCAAGGACCATGCGATACTGCCTAGTGGCCACACTGAGGAACTGCCAGTCAGTCAGTAGGAGGGTTGGAAAAAAAGTAGTGAAACTGATCCTGATGAGGTTTCACTTGATCCAACCTAACGAAAATATTTGCATTTCAACACATGATCTAACACAAAAAAATAGGCCTGAGGGTGCCTGCACAGCGACATACGCACTAGGCTAGGCCTCCACCCGTGGCGCTGGCGTCCCATCTTGCTGCCGGCTCATGTTCTAGCTGCTCCACTTCTGATCCAGCTTCTGGCCTATAACCTGGGAAAGCAGTCAAGGACTGCCCAAAGCCTTGGGACCCTGCACTCACGTGGGAGACCGGGAAGAGGCTCTAGGCTCCCGGCTTCGGATCAGCTCAGCTCCAGCTATTGAGGCCACTTGGGGAGCGAACCAGTGGACTGAAGATATTTCTCTTTTGTCTCTCCTCTGTGAAAATCTGTCTTCCAAATGAAGATAAATCTTTTTCTAAAGATTTCTTTGTTTTTATTGCAAAGTCAGGCAAAGAGAAGAAGAGACTGAGAGAAAGATCTTCCATCCGTTGATTCACTCCCCAAGGGAGCCAAAGATGAGAAGCAGGGGCTGTCAGGATTAGAACTGGCGCCCATATGGGATCCTGGTGTGTGCAAGGCGAGGACTTAAGCTGCTAGGCTACCATGCTGGGCTGCCAAATAAAAAGAACTCTTTAAAACATCTTTAACAGCTTGCTAGCAGCCTGGCGGTGTGGACCACATTTCCAGCTGCATGCGGGCCTCCCCACCTCTACCGTGCAAGGTCCCGACTCCTGGCTGATCTCAGTCCTGGCCCATCTTCTCAGGGCTCCCCCTCAGAGCCAGACAGCCTGCCCATGCACCCTGCTTCTTCCTTTCATTTGTTTTTGTTCAAAATGTTTCTGTTCATTTATTTAGTAGGCGGAAGAAAGATAGGTCCACTGGGTTGTAGCGTGGAGCCAATGTCACTTTCTTTCTTTCTTTTTATTTTTTTTAAGATTTTATTTTTATTGGAAAGGCGGATATACAGAGAGGAGAGACAGAGAGGAAGATCTTCCGTCCCATGATTCATTCCCCCAAGTGAGCGCAACGGCCGATGCTATGCTGATCTGAAGCCAGGAGCCTCTTCTGGGTCTCCCACGCAGGTGCAGGGTCCCAAAGCTTTGGGCCGTCCTCTACTGCTTTCCCAGGCCACAGGCAGGGAGCTGGAAGGGAAGCGGGGCTACTGGGATAGAACCGGTGCCCATATGGGATCCCGGGCGTGCAAGGCGAGGACCTTAACCACTGTGCCACTGCGCCGGGCCCCTTCTTTTTATTTTTAAATTCTATTTTAAATATGGTTTACATAATTGAGAGCAATGCATGCCCATGTGGGTCTCTGGTTAGGGTAGGTAGAGTCAGGTGCGGACGAAGGTGGATGGGACACTCATTTCAGTATCTTTTTTTCTCCCTGTGTCTGCAGGGGAGGAAGAGGAGGGAGGCACTCCTGGCTGTCAAACTACATCAGAACCTGGGAATGGGGGGCGATCATTTGATGATGCCCTAGAGAGACCCCAACGTGGAGAAGAGTATTCCGAGGGTGTTACTTGAGTGGTTGTGACAGCCCTGAGATGTGGTCTATTTCATTGCTCCACGGTTGAGAACATCTTTCCAGGTCTACTGATTGACCAAGCCCACCTTAGCGCTTCCACAGCCCCAGGAGCATGCTGCAAAGCTTAGTCAGGGGAACTGTCCAACCTGCTCTGCTTTCCTCCTCTGACGAGGCAGGTGCTGTCCCCTGCTGGCCTGGCTGAGCTGGCCATCATGACCGCCGTGTACATCTGAGCATGCTGTCCACTGCACAGGCATCAGCAACTCAAGATGGCCAGTCCTCATACATGCACTCCAAGGTTGGACCACAAGGTTGATCTGAGTCCAGGGATCCAGTCCAGGAGTCCCCTAGGAAACCATGCCTGGGTCATCTCAGATTTGATCTTATGTACACCAGCCATGTAGGGTCAGGTGTGGTCTGCCATGCGTACCAGGCACCGCATGTACTAGTGGATGCAGCTTGGTCAGTTCTGCCTCCAGCCCTGTATCTCACCTGAACTGACTGATGTTGTGGCCCAACCCAGCCAGTACACAACAGACTTGGTCCTCACGCATAACATAGGAGCTGTGGCCTGGTCGGGGCAAATCCCAATAACCCCCACCAGGTCTGCTCCCAGACCCGATTTTTGCACACGTCAGCATTCTGTTGTAGCCTGGCCCAGCCTGCCCTGCACCCAGACCAGCCCATTCCCAGCGCCAGCTCTCCTGCTCATAGTGGAAGTAGCAGCCCAACAAGATAATCCCTGAGGACTCCCAGCCCTGGATCTTGTGCTTGCCAGTCCCTGCATTTGCCAGCAGGTACTATAGGCTGACTCAGCCGAGCCCACCTGTAGTCCCAGTTCTTGTCAGTAAGCAGAGTAGCCTAGCTCAGCCTGGCCTACCCCCAGCCATCATGTGAACGGGTGGGTATTGCAGTCCAACTTGCTTGGCCTGTACTCTGTCCTGACTCTGGCTTGTGCCAGTGTGTGCTTCAGACTCACCCTGCCTGGCCTGTCCCTAGACCTGGCTCACGTGTGTCCACGGATGCTGCAGACCGTGGCACCAGTTCTCATGCTCACCAGGGAGAGGTATGGCGCAGCAGAGAAGTCCCACATTCCTCTACCTGGCCTGTTCCCAGCACAGGTATTACACATGCTGGAGGGTGATTAAACACAGCCTGGCAGGGTCCGCCCGCTGTGTCAGCAGTCACTAGTGGGTGTTACAGCCTAGCCAAGCCAGGCATGGCCCACCTCCTGTCTTGGTTTTTGTACATGCCAGCTGTCAAGTGCTGCAGTCTTGCCTTCCTGGCCTGTCCCCAGCCCCAGTGGGAGCTGCAGTCTAGTAGGGGAGTTACCCTACCAACTTGCTCCTAGCCCTGCTTCTCACATGTTCCGTGGGGGCTTGGCCTGATCTGCCCTCAGTCTCGGCCTCTGCATGTGCTGGAGATGCTGAAGCCTAACCCTGCCGGGTCTACCCCCAGCTCCAGCTCTTACAAGTGTCAGGTGCGTTGTGTGGTCCAGCCTGGTTCAGCCACTCACACCCCCCCAGCTCTGCACCCAAACCGGCAGGGGCTACAGTTCCGTGTCACAGAGGCAAGCCCAAAAGTCTCCTATAGAATCTGCTCCCCGAGCCAGTAAGAGGAAGGATAGGTGACATCATGAATATGTCATAATGAATGTATCATGACTAGGTCAGACCAGACCTCCTCTAGACATATGGCTAATTGATTTATTGTTACCCTAAGAAAAATGCCAATATGGGCCCGGCACAGTGGCCTAGCAGCTAAAATCCTTGCCTTGAATGCGCCGGGGATCCCATATGGGCGCCGGTTCTAATCCCAGCAGCTCCACTTCCCATCCAGCTCCCTGCTTGTGGCCTGGGAAAGCAGTCGAGGACGACCCAAAGCTTTGGGACCCTGCACCCGCGTGGGAGACCTAGAGGAAGTTCCTGGCTCCTGGCTTCAGCTTGGCTCAACTCCGGCCGTTGCGCTCACTTGGGGAGTGAATCATGGGATGGAAGATCTTCCTCTCTGTCTCTCCTCTCTGTATATCAGACTTTCCAATAAAGATAAATAATTTGGGCCAAGCATGACAGAGTAGCAATTGAAGTCCTCGCCTTGAACGCACCAGGATCCCATATGGGCACCGGTTCTAATTCTGGCAGTTCTACTTCTCATCCAACTTTCCTGCTTGTGGCCTGGGAAAGCAGTCGAGGTCCCAAAGCCATGGGACCCTGTGCCCATGTGGGAGACCAGGAAGAGCTCCTGGCTTCGGATTGGTTCAGCTCTGGCCGTTGTGGTCACTTGGGGAGTGAATCCTCGGATGAAATATCTTCTCTGTTTCTTCTCTCTGTATATCTGCCTTTCCAATAAAAATAAATAAATCTTTAAAAATAATAATAAATAAATCTTGGGAAAAAAGAAAAATGCCAATATTTTGATGGGAATAATCTACTGAAAACATGCAAAAAAGCAGACTACACTATGCATAGCACATATTTTAGCTGTTTTTTTTTTTAAAGATTTATTTTTATTTTTATTTATTTATTTTTTTTATTGGAAAGGCAGATATACAGAGAGGAGAGACAGGGAGGAAGATCTTCCGTCCGATGATTCACTCCCTAAGTGAGCGCAACAGGCCGATGCTATGCTAGTCCGAAGCCAGGAGCCTCTTCCGGGTCTCCCACACAGGTGCA